GAAGATGGAAGGACCTCCCATGCTCATCAATCCAAAGAATTAATATTCTGAAAATGACTATCCTACCAAAAGCCATTTATAGATTCAATGCAATGCCAATCAAAATCCCCATGACATTTTTCACAGAATTGGAAAAAAACATCCTGAGATTCGTATGTAAGCACAAAAGACCTCGGAGAGCCAAAACAACCCTTAGCACTAAGAGCAACGCCGGGGGGATTACTATACCAGATTTTAAGCTGAGTTACAGAGCTATAGTCATAAAAACAACATGGTACTGGCACAAAAATAGACCCATAGATCAATGGAACAAAACTGAAGACCCAGATATGAGTAAATACGATTCCAGCCACCTGATATTTGACAAAGGGGCCAAGAATATTCACTGGAGGAAAGACAGCATGTTCAGCAAATGGTGCTGGCAAAACTGGATCTCCACCTGTAGAAAAATGAAACTAAACCCCTATCATTCACCCTGCACAAAAGTCAATTCCAAGTGGCTCAAAGACCTCAATGTAAAGCCTGAAACTCTGAAACTGTTAGAAGAAAACATTGGGAAAAACCTACAAGATATAGGTGTAGGAAAGGATTTTCTAAACCAGACATCAGTTGCTCAGGAAACAAGAGCAAGAATTAACAAATGGGACCTCATTAAACTAAAAAGCTTCTGTACATCAAAGGAAGCAACCAGGAATGCGAACAGAAAACCCACAGAATGGGAGAAAATCTTTACCAACGACACATCCGATAGAGGTTTAATATCCAGAATATATAACAAACTCAAGAAACAGAGAATCAAGACAAGAAGCAACCCAATTAAAAGATGGGTTAAGGAGTTGAACAGAAAGTTCTCAAAAGAAGAAGTAAAGGTGGTTATGAAACATCTTAAAAGATGTTCAACATCACTAATAATTAGGGAAATGCAAATTAAAACCACTTTAAGATTTCAAAAGAAAAAAGACAAAAAAAAAAAAAAAAAAAAAAAAAAAATTTTATTTTACCCAGCTCAAACTGGTTAAGAAAAA